AAATAACTATTATTCAATAAAGATTTGGATAATTACAACTCGAGAAGAAGTTAGGAGATTATGCCTAACCATGTTCTCTAAATCAGATTCAATTGGATACATGCAAGCGACGTCATGCATGTAAGTGGAACCTTATTGTATTCTGAATCGACAAATACCACAATTTATCTACGATGGCGTCACTTACAGGCATACATTTATGACATCACGTGGAAACTATGAACTGGATTTTCTAAAAAGTCGACAGTCAAACAATAGTTTTTATTTCTAAATTGGAATGAATAATATGAAGTAGGCTCCATTGCAACTCCATTGGCAACTCCAGGCAACCATTGGCAGGGATAGTCTATTTTTAAGGCAAAGTTTAACAAAACTAAACTTTTAAATTGTATTAATAAGCATTAAGAACAGCTGATGATTTCATCAATTGCAAAAATTACTAACATGAAATTGTTATAATGTAAGAAAGAGGCAAGTCAACAAACAAAACTGGATTATAAACGCAACAAACGAGTTTCTTAAAAGAACTCAACTTGGTATATATCAACTTGGTATCAACCATTGGCAGGGATAGTCTATTTTTAAGGCAAAGTTTAACAAAACTAAACTTTTAAATTGTATTAATAAGCATTAAGAACAGCTGATGATTTCATCAATTGTAAAAATTACTAACATGAAATTGTTATAATGTAAGAAAGAGGCAAGTCAACAAACAAAACTGGATTATAAACGCAACAAACGAGTTTCTTAAAAGAACTTAACTTGGTATATAAACATAGAACTGATTCTATATATGTTATAAGTACACAAAACTAAGAAATTCAACTCACAATTTGGTCATTTTTTTCAGATTCCGTAGCATTTTTAGACATCATTCCTTTAGTTTTGTATCCGGATCACGTTTTTGCGAAGTATGATTTGTGACTAGGACAGAAAACGTGTTCCTATGACTAGAGTATACCAATTTAAAAAGAATGAAAAATAAAAGAATGGTCAGTTCAGAAAAATAACGTGTCTCTTTTTTTGTTTGCCGTAGAAAACATTATTTCCTTAAATAACAATACAAAAGAGAGTTTATATCGCTAAATTTACTTTTTATATCCTAGTGTGCAAACAATTGCAACTGACTTTGATAAATTCGGATGATTATTGGAGCAATCACGTTAATTCGGAATTTTCAATGTGGGTTGATGTGGATAATTTTTAGTGGAACATTGATCTAGCTTAATGCTGATTTTTTAATGCCGATTAATACACATAATTTTAGTGGAACTTTGATCCGGGTTATGCGGTCAATTTTTAGTGGAACAATGAACCGGGTAGATACGGATAATTTCAGTTGAGAATTGATCTGGTTTAATGCGGGTAAATGCGTATTAATGCGTAAATGCTCCAGGTTAATGAGTTATATTAACAAGTATGAAGTCATATAATGACTTTTTTAAACATGTACTTCCTTTTGAAACAGTGAACATTTACTTTATATTTCATGACTGTGAAGCTATTCATAAATTTAATTCTGTGCATCGAGTTCCTAAGCATCTATAGCTCATATAACTAATGATTAGCTCTGTTCCGTAAAACAACAGGATTGAGTAGTCTGTGTTCATCCATTGCCAATTAATTGTCATGCCCTTTTTTTAATTCGTATATTTCACTCGCAGAGAGCACTATTTGAAAGTACTGTGCTTCAACGAGAATAATACCAGTAAATCAAAATTTATAGACTCAATAATTATGTATTTGTTAACGTGAGTTTTGCAAGTGTAAAGTATGTAAAATGAGTAAATTTGCTCCTAATTAAGGCATGTAGCTTTGATTTTTATTTTAAACCATTCTGAATTTAATTTCACTATATTAGTTTTACAAAGAACTTTATTCTTGCTTTGCGGGAAATAAGTTTTATTTTAAAGAATAAAACTTATTGAGTTATTAACAAGTGTTAGTAAAAAATCGAAACAAAGTTAAATACTGAAAAATTGCGTTGACAAACAATATGTTTAACAAACTTTAATAAAGGATTAATTAAAATGATTTAAAGGGAAAAAAAGAAACAATATGATTTAATAATTTAAGGAAAATGATATAAAGAAATGAATTTAACCAACGTTGAAACAAACATTAATGTTGTTAAAGCAAACATTAAAACAAATTTAAACTTTTTAAAGCATTAATATTTTTTTAAAAATAACAGATGTACTTGCAACTATGCAGTGCAGGTTTTTCGTGTTTTGATTAATCACCAACCTGAAATCTTTTAAACCTATAGTGTATACAATAAAAATAATTCGTCACTTTAATATTACATTCAAAAACTCAACTAACTACAAGGATATGTACCAAAAATTAATTAAGTAAATTTTTAAAGCATTTTTAACAAAAAAAGTTTAAAAAAGGCAATTATTTGTTTTATAATATATATTTTGTAGCAATCTCTCAATCAAATTTATGACATTAGATAGTTAATCAAAGTTATTTTATCGAATACTTTCTTTCGGTATCCATTAATTTAATGAATCCAAATTCTATATATCTTGAAATTTCATCATGGGCTGTAAAGCAGCTTAGTTTTGTTAATTTAGGTGAAATTACACAAATTGATGAATTTATTTTTAATACGATAAAAATGACTTTAACCAAAATGTGTTCTATATTTCTCTAAATAAAACTTCCATTTTCAACTGAAAATTTAGTTTAGTTTTATCACATTTTACTCAAAGCTTTTTCTTAAAAAGAAAATTTCATTTCCATTTTTTTTCTTTCTAACTTTTTTTATTTAATACCTTTTTTCTACAAAACACGTGAAAATAGTGAACGAGCAAAGTAAGCAAGTATTCAAAATTTGAAATAAATTTATGATGCTGGAAAGGAATTCTACGTTTGATATGATTTTAAGAATCGGTTGACAATTGTATGATTTAGCGTTTCATGAGGAATATAGAATATTTTATCGAATTTGTATAAGTGACGCATGTAGAATAGAATCGCTTTTCTTTTGCTGACATGAGTGAAAAAATAATACCAATTTGCTTCTTTGTAGCGTCATAGAGTGGATATGTTGTAAGGGAAAATGATGAGCTTGTAAGACGAAAAAAAAACGTATGTATGCATATGTTGTAGAAGATTTAAACAAAATAAGTTCTGATAGACAGATATTGAGATGTCATAAAATTTCAGAATTCTTTTACCAATTTCAAATTTTATTGCAGATGCTATTTATTTTATTATTTTTTAAGTTTAATGGAAAGCAAAAAATTAATTTAGTAATTGCAAATATTAAAGTACTTTTTTTAATTCTTTTAATAAATACTTTTTGTAAAGAATTGTACAGTGGGCCAAAAAATAGTCTGTGATAATTAGCAAGTTTAATGAACTTATATTCACGCCTTTTTATTTACACTTCTTCCATACGTATCTTTACTGATATTCATGCACTTTTGTTTACATTTTCTTGAGTATTTTTTTTATTTTAAATAGTTTTTCACTGTAAATTTATTTTTGAGACAGGGAAAATGAAGCTTAGATTTCGATCTAAATTAATGTGTACCGGAAAAGCAAAGCATTTTCCTAGACAATATTTGGCCAAGTTATCTATAGAAAAATGCTTATTTGTAAAGTAACACAATTCGGAAGAATTAAAAAAATTTTAATATCTAAGCTGAAACAAAATTAAATGCTTATAAGCTAGTTAAAAAATGTTCAATAACATTTTTAAGTGAGATTAAAATACTCATTTTTATATATATTTATATTTAATAATTGAGACAGTTGGCCCTTTTAGATTTAGGAGATCAAAATCACATTTACGTAAATGTATTTATAAAAATATCAGTAAAAATTCCTCTAATGCATTGTTTATCGCAATTAAGGAATAGAATTCAATTTTTTCTTGTTTTAATTATTCAAATATATGTTAAACTTATCAGGTTCGCTGATTTTTAGCATTTTTCAAGTACCTGAAATTCGGATTAAAAAGGCTTATTAAATGCTTCCTTATTTTTCTTCATTTATCAATTTTATTTACATAAAGTACAATCACATATGAAAGCTATCGTACATATCTGTTAATTTTTCTCTTTTTAAAGCGGACAAACCATAGTCATACTGGTAATATCAAACTATAGTCATATTTCGTAGCTTATGGTTGAAAAACGCGGGTTGATATACATTTTAAAAATAAAATTAAATTTATTAGTTTCTGCAAGCGAATATTTGATCTTATCTGATTTGTGTGTAGGAATATCAAATTTGAAATCAGTTTTCTTCCTTAAGCTACAAATTTTTTTAAATGACATTTTTGTACTATTTTTGATGTAATGTGCAGTTTAAAATTTTTTTGCATAACAGGGTACCACGTAAATGTTTCAAACTTCTAAGGGCGCTAGGGCACATAATCAGGATCAAAATAACAGGGGAACCCATGTCTAAAAAATTCATCCTGCTCTGCTAGGCGCTCTTCCTTATTATATTCTGTTCAGAATAACACGAAGAAACAGTTCCTATTAAGGAAGCGCCTGTAGTTGCGTATTGGGGCGTTTCTGGGTATAGGTATTCAATTTCAATCCTAAAAATATACCTTAATCTGCCTTAGAAGTTTATTGCAACATTTATGCAATGCCTAGTTATATATATCGTTTTTAAACCTGTACATTTCCACAAAAGACGATGAATGAATTATAAATGATGATTAAATGAATTATAGACGGTAAAAACTGTAACAAGAATAACAGTAGAAGAAACAAACTGTAACCGATTGCAGATTTGAAATCAGAGATACGAAAATATGTAAGATCTGTTAAAAAAAACTCATACAACAGGAAAAGAAATTTGTTTCCTAGTGTAATTAATTAACCCAATTTGTAGACAATGATTTTCTCGATATAGATATTGAAAGATTTCTTGATACAGATATTAAAATCTTGATATAATTTTACTAAATATAGTTTCTAAAACAAACACGAAGAAAAATTTATTGATAAGAAATAAATAAGATATCTTACATAATACTTCTAGAGTTGTTGCCTGTAAAAGTGGAGCTTCCAATCTCTTTCTTAAGACGTCATTTATTCCTTTGCAAAAGAATTCTCCCTTATGGTCGTACCTAGATGCAACTAAAACTAATGAACTTGCTGTCCGATATGTACCATCACTCATTAGATCTGTTGTAGTCATTGGTTGAGGGCCAATCACTTCTGATCTGTTATACCACGTGATGTTCGCTGCAGGTCTTGCACCTTCAACGGTGCATGTTAAAGACACCATTTCTCCTGCAACAACTGGTGTTGTTGGTCCTCTAACACTCAACGACGCAGGCCGAACTGCAAAAAAAAAAACATATCATTTTAAACTTCATTCCATGATTGAGAATATCAAATTAAAGGGAATTAAAAATAACATGATCTTTTATATTATACACTATAATACAATCATGAAAAATTTACAGTTTCAAACAGGAAACTTGATTTGTTGTGCAAAACCGTTGCTTCAACGGTTTTTATCATATGAGAACAACCTTTTTCATTAAGAATCACAAAGAAAATAAGTTAGCAAGCTGTTTTCTATGGTAACAGAGACAAGGTTTTTGCAACGAAAATAAATTTGCTGTATTAAGACTTCTACCATATTGGAACAAGCAGATGTGATGTATCCACAGCAGATGTGAATATTTCATTTCGCAAAATTTGTATCGACTAGTCATCTTTGGGATTTGGTATTGGGTTTTTTTAAATGGGAGACGCACGCTCTGTGCCCTGAGCCCCTATGACTCAAATTTTCTATTATGAAGAAATTTCGCTTTACTATTAGGTCAATTTGAAAACAAAATCGAATCGCAGGTTTATTTATACTATGTTCAAGCTCAAAAAATAATTGCTAAAAAGCTAGTAAATATAGAAGATAATCGCAAAATGATTGAAGAAAAGGTTATATTATGGAACATAAAACTGCATGGTAAAAACTATAATTTCAACTTACTGTTTTTATCCATTTGTAATTGGAGTGAAAGATAAAGAAAAACTATTTTGTTAACGAAACGGCCTTAAGCAGTTAACTATACGAAGGAACTCCGAAAAAAAACAATGGATAATTATCAGAGTGTCTATAGTAATTTAAATAGTTTATAAAGACAAATATTAGTAGAATTGGTTTTGATTTAAAAAAAAAACTTTCTGCAGCATGTATAAATTTATGAATACACACTAATTAAAATAACATAAGTAACTGAAAATTCAGTATAAACAAAATTGGGAATATTAAAATATTAGATTCTCAATTTTCTTTTTACTAAATTTTAAGTAATTTAGCTTATTTAATTTGACTTTGTTAAGTTATTTGACTTTGTAATATAAGATAACTATTTCAAAATATTCAAATACTACAAATGCAGTGTTTTTAATGTTGTGCATATCACAATATGTTATTACAAAATTCCACTAGACGAAAGTAAAACACTAGGGAACAACGTTGTAAGCTTCTACCATGTATGCTTCACAACAAATCGAATTTTGGGAAAAATGAACAATTTGTTTCTTAATCTAATAATGAGAGTGATGTTCTAAATACCAATGTGTACTGCATGAAAACATATGTGATTCACTGTTCAATTTAGATTATGTATAAATCATAAATTAAGTAACTTACATAAGTACTCCAGGTAAAAAATATCTCTATGATTATACATCCAAGTACAAAGTATCAGATAAGTATAAATCTGACAAAAATAGAACTAGTACCGAGAGAGATATTTTGATAGCACATAAACTTTATGAAGAAAAAAAGTCCAGTTAGCGATAAGAAATGTACCATAACATGTATAACTAAGGAAATTTGTTATAAACAATGTATATTTGTTCTATAATATCGGTTTTAATATAACACTGGCATAAATCACCAGTAAATCTTTATTCAATTAATAACTAAAAAAAATAAATATGTGATATTACTGATAAGAGAGCTAGTTTAAGGATTCAAATAGAACTGTATTTTTATTTTTATTTTACTTAACTCAGAAATTAATATATAATTAATTTCTTGTTTAACTCTGTTTCTATTTTTTTGCTACTTTCAAATATTTATACAGAACAGTTGCAACAACAATAAAGAAAAATATCTTAACAATTTAGTAAAAGATCAATGCAGTGGACGTCTGTTATTATTTATAATTAATTTAGTCTAAAATATGACGACAAATATTTAAAATACAAGTTTTATTTTTATGAAACACAAAAAATATGTAATTGTCATATCTAAAACATATTATTTATTTTAAAACAACTATAAAATTTGCTTTAGAAAAAAAACTCCGACAACGGAGTATCGTCTACGTTTTTTTTTTTTTATTATCAAAAAGGTAAATTTTTTTCCATGCGAAAAAATTTTTGCATAGTTGTGATAGGGTTACTGCTTTTTTTGAATGTTTATTTTTAAGATTGTAAATTCCTTAAATATCAATTTGAACAAAAACTAGATATTATTTTATTCACGTAAGTCAAGAAAAATAATGAATGCATAAAACTTTATTAATTTAATCTTTGCAATTCAACATATATTTCTTCACTTAAAAAAAATATTTCCACAAAAATTTAAGACTGAATTTATTTTACTGCACTATAAAAATTTCATATTTTATAAAGATATTCACATGAATACCTAAGTTTTTCTGACATCGAAATCTCTCAAAAATGAGAAGAATATCCTTAAAAAATGTTTTTTGTTTCTATAATTTAACATGAAATCCAATCTATTCCGCCACATATACCTGATGCATAGATGTAAACCATACTTTTCGATACATTATATTTCGACATTTACATTATTTTCGATATATTTCGACGTTTTATATTTTGTATCATTTCATTTTTTTGTCTTTTCATTTACTTTTAAGGAATCCTTTAATTTCAAAATAATTATTTTACTTATTTTCGATGCTCTGACTATTATTTTACTTTGATTATGAGCTTAATATAAATTTTTATAATTTTTCTAACTTTTAAAAGGAAAATCAATTCCTCACATGTAATACACATATGCTAAATAGAATTTCAAATAGGATTGGGCATCCTTTTTTTCATACTTTAGGGAATAAATTTATTTTACTGTACTTCTAACAACTCAATGTTATCATTTTAATCACTTTTTTTCCTTATTTCAGTAAACACATGAAAAAAAGGTAAGAAAAAAGTATTTTTCCCTTCTTAAAGTAACGATGGCATTTTATAATTTAGGAAAAAGAAAGTATGTTAGTTATTTTAAAAGTATCGGGATATCTAATGAAACATTGATTTTTTGGAGGATCATGAAAATAAAAATTCTGATATCATTCAGCTCTATCCTTTCAATTTAATCTGTAAAATTTATGTAATTTAACTTAATAATATCGGCGGTAACTTGCGGAAAAGAGTTAAATTTGCCTTTTTCCAGTGCCCAGGAAATAAAATTACAACATAAAAACACTACATAAACAATGATTCATAAGATTAAAGTAGCATGTTACATCAAATGATCCAACTAATGAGGTTCAAAAAGCCGTGGTTGATCAGAAGATGGAGTGTTCGCTTTCCGATTAAGGTGAGCCTATTCGAATCCCAGTGGTTACTAGTGGAAATAAATTTTGCGTCTGACTAACACCGGCCATAGAGCTGACACAAAATATCATCAGTGGTATCATGGGTCAAGAGTGAAAAGTTCAGTGGTACCATGGGACGGATCATGGGTTAAAATTTATTTGCGTCGGACTAATCTTGGGAGGTTTTAGTAGTTTTCCTTTCCATGGAGCAAGAATGCGGGATAATACTATCAAAAAATTCTCTGTGAATGCTGTTTTAACCAAATGCCTGATCCAGGAGTTCCCTTGTCTACAGGGTTAAGCTTTAAATAACAAGAGTTGAACACTATTCATAAACAACTCAGATTTGTGTTGGATGTGCCACGTCGGCTATTGAATGAGTTTCAAAGATTAGTTAATTATGATTTAGTTTTGGTCGTTTTTTCAAGGTTAAATTAAATTGCTTGGATATCGTTTTTTAAACTTCGACAACTATGCGTGAAATTGTGATCTTTTTGCACAATAGATTTGCAATATGAGTGAGTCAAAAAAAATTTCTTGTCTTTGTTATTTGGAACTTTTTCTTCAAAAAAACTTAATAGAGAATGATTTTTAAAGTTTATTTGTGAGAAATGTTAACATTTTTTCGTAGATACACGAAAAAAAATCAGGTAAACTTCCACACTCTAATGACATTTATGGTAAAAAGAAAAAGAAAACACAATTCTGGTTAATGAAACAAAACTATAGCATATTTATACCATTCATTTGGTAATTTTTCCGTTGATAAGGTAGCAGTAAAGGTTTATAAGACATTCTGGTTTTCAAAATCACAGTTCTTATACCCAGATATTTAGTAAAAATTACAAAGCCACAAAAGTAAATTTAATTTTATGTCATGCTCTAAGGTATTATCATAATGTCACTTAATTTTATCACACATTATAAAATATATGTTATTAAATAAATTAATATATATATATANATATATATTAAAAAAAATGTGCCTTTAATTTTACCAAAATAATTTCTAAATCACTTTGGTAAAATTAAATTTTCATTTTTCGTATTTCCATTGCTCCAGAAACAACAATACATTTTACCGCATTCTGGTAGTTCTTTTCTTTTCTCAGTGTGTAATTCACTATATATAGATATCAATATTCACACATATGTATATATATAATAAAATATTACGTTTGATTTTTTATCGTTGTAATATTTGATAACTGCATTATTCATTATTGAATTTATAAATATTTTTATTTTGCAACAATTTAAGAAAATAATAAGGACAAAATGATCATTTATTTCAAAAACAAATCTCACAAACATCTCAAATCGAAGCCTATACTGCTAGTCATGAGTAAAGGATGATTTTCTACCATGCCCTATTGACCGAAATGTACTAAGTAAATTAATTGAAGATTTCCTGTCTTTCTGCTCCGAGGTCCCTTCTGGGAAAACTTCGTAAAGTGTGTTAAATAAGAAACAGTACGACAAGTTTTGATGCTTCCTCTGATAGAATTACGAAATCATGCGCTAAAGCAGTAATATCATTAGCCATGTTGCAACAGTCTGCAGAGCTGGAAGAAACTTTCTTAGCTTCGTGTGGCGGAACATTAAATGAAGTCCTAGAAATAATCAAGCTTATGTTCATTTGGCGGCTGCCGATGTAACAATGCAAATTACATTTTTCTCTCGGGGGTTTTCCAGAAATTGCGAAGAAACTACTCACTAAGTAGATTCTAATTCTATTAGAACTTAGAAATGTTT